CGTCCCTGCATACACCTAGAAAGAATTTAACATGCTCAACAATAGCAGTGGTATGGTTATAAAATAATTTTAAAGTGGGGCAAAACAAAATATTGTTTAAGAAATTGACTGAAATATTACGAAATTTAAATGAAAAACTCAAACATAAAAAAATAAAAATTAAAGAACCATATTATTTATATTTCAAAAGTTTAAGGGACCAGCGGCCTAACTCTGTCCATTGAACCATGGTCAAACTTGCAAATCTTATGGAAATCTATAATGTCACAATAGCGGACCAAAAATGGAAATCATCATCGACTCTAATACAACTCTGGAAAATTTGATACTACATTTTTTGACCAACTCAATGGAGAAATTTCTCAGAAGAATTACGAAAACGGAATGAATACTCTTCTAACATTAGTCCAACCTTATTCCATCGGAGGATTTTTTCATTTCTAATCGTGGAAAGTAAATCACTGATCCTTATCCATTGCAGTAATCATTATTGTCATTACTATTTTATTAGAATTAATAATTTGTTATTAATTTTATTTTATTTTATTTTATTTGTTAAAAATGATTAATAATTAATATTTATTATATGATAAATTAAAATTAATTTATAAATAAATATTTTGAATATTATAATTATTTATTAAAAATTTATAAATTAATAAAATTACAAATAAAATTAATAATAGATTGATGACCCTACCAAAGTTAGTGTTTGCTATAACATCACCCACCCATTGCATGCCCAACAATAACTACAAATGGCAGCGTGTTTGAAACTTCGAATAACTTGTTGAAATTGTGAACGAGAACAGCCAGAAAACTGGAATTAAGTGTAGCTTTTTCTTTCTTTTTCTTTTTTTTTTTCTATAAATATTTTTTAGAATGCCATGTACAGACCACACACAGCATATGCATCATGCATAGGGGGATGGATATTTGTAACAGCCAGAAAACTGGAATTAAGTGTAGCTTTTTCTTTCTTTTTCTTTTTTTTTTTCTATAAATATTTTTTATATTAATTTTTTGGTATCTAATAAATACATTAAATTTTAATTAATTTAAAATCAAATCATATCAGATTTCATTAAAAAAAAAACTTGTTCAATATATATTTTTCTATTCATAAAATTTAAATTTAAAATTTTATTTAAAAAAAATTAAATTCCTCCAATTCAAACCTACAAATAATTCCTTATATAAACATTTGTTAAGAGGAAAAAATTTCAAAATTGGCGGTTAGGTGTGGATAGAGAGGCAGACTTATGTCAATGTCAAGGTTTGTCACACATGGAGAGTCGAAATTTAGACAGCTGCCACACGTACCCAATCGACTATCAACACATGCACAATCAAATCCAATCAAATAATGTGAAACTCAATTGTACACAGGCATACATACGTGGCCTACAACGAACGATGCCCTCGCTATCCTAATCCACCAGCGCCATAAGTCTCAGCAACATCGTACATGAAGAATTAATCCAATCCAATTATTGCTTCA